TGTGACATGGCAAGACCTGTTGTATGAACGAGGCCTAAAAATTCAGTGACTTTTGACTGCTACAACATTAAATACTTTGGTTTTTGCCTATACTGCATAGGAGACACATTCATGCACAAAACACCATTAATGCTTTAATAATTTACACGTTTATATGGTTATTTTTCAGTAGCCTGGACTTTGTAAAAAAGAGCTGCTTCTCTTCTGAGCTGACACAATGAGAACCAAGAAGCAACACAGACACCCGTAAGCAGCACTGCCTTTCTCTGGGATCCCTCCATTTGGGAAGGGATTGTCCTGAATTATCCTGGAGCAACGAACCCAGCACAGCAGAGAAAGGCTCTAAAATGTGTAATGGCAAAAGGCACTTCTGAGAATTTAATTCACACAAATACACAAGTGGAAGTGGAGTTTTGCCTCAAAAATATTCACCAGTAGGATGTTTTCCTCCTCCTCTCTCCTCTGCTTAGGTGGGTTTTTTTTTTGAATGTAAATGAAATAAATGCAGAGCAAGGCAGGATAGGGGAGAAAGGGAGAAGCCAAAAGGCCCTTTTCTCTGTTTCTCCCTTCTATTCCAACACCTGGGCTCCCTTTTTGGTGCTGTGCTCTTGCAATGTCTGTATTTTTGCTTTGGAAAGGCCTGGTAACTACCAGGAGATTAAAAGAATTAGTTAAGCAGTGGAGCCTTTAAAATTGAGTCATGTGAAATGAATTGCACAACAAATCAAGTGAAATATTCTCTCTCTTCAGACCTTGGTCACAGACAGAAGTAAACCAAGGTCAAGGTACAAACTAGTGTTAAAGATAATTAGTACTAAATTATCTAAATTAGTGCTAGCTAATAGTATTTTCCCAAATAGCAGTTCTGGACCTCATTTCCTTCATTTCCTGGAAGTATTTTGGAGCTTTGCTAATTCCCATAGCATGGGCCTGGTTTTAGGGGTGTGCTCAGTTCCCACTTTGCAAACACACAGAGATTTATTGTAGCTGAGACCACTCGGTGATTTAATATTAAAAGAAACAAGATCTCACTACGTCAACTTTTTAAAACCTCAGATTTACATCAATTTGGCACGATTCCAATTTGGGAAGATATTTTTGCAGCCTCTGAAAAACCAGTAAATCCTTGGTTTTGAGATGACTTGGAGAAATCCTCACTCCTGGCATTTAGGAAAGCACAGCAGTGAAATGATTTATAAAGACTGTGTGATGCTGCAACATGATGTTCTTCCATGATTATATTTCTATTTCCAGTATGTTGCCTGCAATGGAGGAGGAGGAGGAGGAGGAGAAGGTCCACCAACCCTCCAAAATTAAGAAGTAACCCCATAGACACAGAGAGCATCCTCTACAGCCACATGCTAAACAGTACCAAATAAAACTCCTTTTCCAGAGGTTCTCCACAGCTTGCAGGCAGTGTTATCCCAGTTTCTGGGGGACTCCTGGCTCATGACAGAATTATCACCTTGCTAGTGGTCTCTGAGACAAAACACCTCTCCCTCTGTGTTCTCAACCATCTGTTTAAAGAGGTCCAGTTTCAAGTATTGCCAGCGTGGCCCCTGTCACCAGTTTGATTTACAGTGTTTAGTGGTGTCTTACTGGTCTGGCTTGAAGGTGTTCCCAAAAAACTTGCATTCTCCCAGCCTCCCCCACTGATCCAACAGGAGGGATCCCCTCTCATTCCAAACCTTGATGCTCCTCTGTTGGTTAAGGAGGACTAAGGTAATACTCACACAGATACAATTTGGTTTATCCTGCTTTTCCTAACACGTTATTTATCTTCCTCTACTGACATTTATGTCCACATTTACAACATTGAAGGAATTTAACTTAAGCTGTTATTCCCTGAGTTCTTTGTATTCACATTGAATATGTCTCTTCACACAATTAATTACAATTAATCACAGACTTGAATTCTGTACTAGGATCTACTACAGATCATCCCTCAGGTCAAAACAAACGCTGCATTCACGGCAAAGCTCCGTGTTTGTGAGGATTCCAACGCCAGGATTCCACTGACAAAACCATCCAAGTGCCCCTTTTCATTCTTCTGCCAGCTGTTTAATAAACATACTGCACTGCTCTACTGAATTTACAAATTATATATATAATAATTTACAGAATTATACAAACAAAACTCCCATCTTCGCTTCCGTGGAGCGACTCTTCCTGTGTTTAATATAACTTACTTCCACATACAAAAAAATTAAGGCCTCTACAATTTATAAGTTGTCTGGCAGCTTAAAAAAAAAATCAAAAATAGAAATAGTCTTTATTTGCCAGTTGGGAAATTTCTTCACATGAAATACTTTTACACTTAGTTGGAGGCAGCAGTCTAGTTATATATTTTAAATAAACCTTTTTTTTCTGAGCTCTGCACAGAAAAAGCTATGAAGAATAACTCAGAAGCCTAATGCATAATTTCTTTAGAAAGACCGGAATCAGTTTGTAGGACACAGACCATCCCAGGAAAGTCTTGCCTTCGATAACATTTATACTGACATTTATATTTCAGCTGACTGGTCAGCTGAAGCCTGAGCTATCAGCATTTCTAGGTTTGGAGCATGAAGTATTGTAGAAAGCCAAAAATATTTTAAAGCTTTGAATTCAGTGATGTAAATTTGCTTTTAGGCCTTGGCTTCAATGTGGATTCTGGGAATGATAACTCATGCTCCAAAACCTAGAAATACTGACAGGTCAGTCTTCAACAAACTGAGCAGGTACAGGAAATTCAGAATTTAGATTTTACATGAAACCCGAGGCAGCAAAATAAGTTAACCCAGAAAACACACGGGTTTGGTTCTTTTACGCAGCGAATGTTACTTTTAGGCAAAACTTAGCAGAAAGACAATCTGGGAACAAACAAAACTCTCGTTTGGCAGTGCCCAGTTTGGGAATTTAGCTCTGTGCTCTCCTTGTTAACCAAAATTCATCCATTAAAAAAAAAAAAGAAAAAGAAAAGGCAACGCAGTGAGAAGCTGAACCATCAGCTTCATTTCAGTAAAGTGCTCGGGCCCGGGACACCCGGAGCGGCTCCACTACGACCTGACCTCGGACGCTGAGCTGAAGGAAGGGGATGCCAAGTTCCTCACTATCCTGTTGAGGTTGGCAATTTTTTCTTCCAGCAGATAGTTCTTCCTCTCCGCGGATTTCTGCCGCTGCTCCGTCGCCTCCAGGGCCTTGAGGAGCTGCGCGTTCTCCACGTAGAGATCCTTGACCATCGCGTCCGCTTTGGTGTTCTTGGAGAGCTGGGGTGGGAACGGGACACAGTTACTCACCAGGATAAAAATAAAATAAATAAAAAAAAACCAAACCACCCTAACGTTCAAAATAAAATTTAAATTTTTAAATTAAATTTAGATTAAAATCTGAAATAAAACTACTAGGCGAACGTGTTGGTTGTAACTCGAACATCAAAGGAAAAACCCGCCCGTTCATCTTATCACCATCTTGGTTAAAAACCTGGAGTCTTCAGACTGAATATTCTGAATATTTTGAGACTGGAAAAGCCTATTCAAGGAGATGATAAAGGGTTTCAAGCGCTTCATAACGTTTGTCCTCCACAGATAAATCCAGGTCGCAAGAGAAACCAGAAGCCCGGTGATCCCACAGAGACACTTCCAAAAACCAAAACCCCCCAACCCCGCACCAAACAAGGTGTATTTGGAGCAGGAGGCATCAAAGAAATCAGTAATTGTACAATAATCCTCTCTGAACTCTTCATCAAGTTCTTTTTCCTCCTTTTTTTAAGCAAACTTTTCCAGTTAGGGATCCTTGGCTGGAATTTGTTTCCTGAGTTAGGAAATCATTAAGTGGCGGACTCCCAAACTCCTAATTTGGAGTTTTAGGATTTTTTGGGCTCAAAAGCATTAAAACAAAAATCACTCTAAACTTCATTCTAAGCAATGACTTGGCAGCTTTTGCCCTCTTGGCTGTTTCCAGAAGGAATGGGGATGACTCGAGGAAGACGAGGAACACTCACTTGTTCTTTCAGCTGATTTACTTTATCTTGGAGAAGCCTCTTCACAAGCCTTAGTTTCTGTTCAACATCCATCATACGCTCTTCCATCATTTTTAGAAGCTGCTCGTGACCCCCCTGGAAAGCAACATTTATGTGACAATCAGTTAAATATCAGTTCCCATTCACCAGATTATTTTTTTTCCCCTTGTTTATATGTAAGAAAATACCTGGCACTCCAGACTTCTGAGTGTTTTGGAGTCAAAATTAATAAATAAAAAAAAAAAAAGAATAAATCCTTCCTGGAAGAAAAGTGCTATGGCAACACTTAAAGGACATTTGCAGCACCGCACTTGTTTTCCAAGCCAAAGTTACACTTGGAATTACCAAGATCTAAGAAAAACTGATACAAAACTCAGTCTCAACCCCGAGAGTCAGATCTGGATAATTTACTTCTCTCGTTCTTCGGTGCTGCCGAAGTTCTGTTGAGTGTGGGGAAAAAAAATGCCAATCAAAATCTTAATAGTTTTAGGAAATAATTAATGTTAAAGTCGTAACATGTCTGAAAGTGTAACTCTCCCACTCCAAAGACTCCTTGAAATTGAGTAATATGTTAAAAAAGTAGGATGCTCCTATACTAAACTTGATTTTTTTATCTTTTTCGATTAATTGTTGATAAATAATGTTTCCATACATTAGTTCTAACCAGGTTTTCCTCTTTTTCTTCAGTGAGGTGACAGTCTAATTAAAAGCACAGTAGCTGTGCCATGGGAGTTACACCAACACTTGAGTGAGGTTTTCCCAAATAAATGAGAAACAGCAGGAGTTACAAACAAGCCTTCTTGTATTTGGGAACTTTAGGCATGGAGTCTTTATTTTAATGCCAGTTTTTTTACTCGAATTCTGGGAATTAATCTGGGAAGATCAACTCTGAGAAAGCACCAACCTCCCCAAAACCAAACGCCTTCAAACCCAAAACCATCACAGGGGGGAAGATAAATGAAAAACTGAGGGAGGAATGTTTCAGGTGGGTAACTCCTCATCTAAACCCCCAGATCCCCCTGGGGGGTTGATTGAAGCCCCCTCAACAATTGATTTGCTGTGACACCCAAAACTCTTTAAATCTGTGTATGGGGTTCTATGATAATTCATTTTTGTGAAAAAAGTTACATTGGAGTCATACAGAAAACAGTTTCACAGTGTGGCTGGAGTGGATATTTTTCTAGATTAAAAAAATAAGCAGGACCTTAAAGGATTTTCTAGCCAAGTTATCATGAGTTATCCTCTGTAATTTGATTGGAATTCAAAACCCTGGCTCATTATCCCACTTCTTAATGGTTGCAGGAGCCTTGAGTGAGTAGTTATGTGGAAATGAAGAATTACAGTGGTCTCAATACCTGTGATCCCTATTTTTTGGCTCAAAGTGGACTTGAGAATATTCTCACTTTGTATTATTCCATGTTTAATGGGGAAAAAAAACCAACCAGCTCAAGCAGTAGCTTTAAGATCATTAAAAACAGGAGCAAGAAGACCTTGTCAACCATGAAATAGTTCATGGCTATCAACTAGAAAATCACAGACCTTGAAGAGGTGTTTTGCTGACCTATTAAAGAATTAAAATTCTAATTTAATCAAGCAATTTGAGACAAAATAAAGACTGCTAAGGAATGTTATCCAAGAAA